GGAGGAGGGGCTGGGGGCCTGGACTCCTGTTATGAGGGTGGAGGGGGCTAGAAGTCCTTGTTTGTTTGTTTGTTTAAAGATGGGGTTTCACCATGATGGCCAGGCTGGTCTTGAACTCCTGACCTCAGGTGAATCACCCACCTTGGCCTCCCAAAGTGCTAGGATTACACGCGAGAGCCACCGCGCCGGGCCGAAGTCCTTGTTTATTTGGTCAACAGAGGGAAAGTTGGTGAGAGTCGCTCACTCACTCTGATTCCCCCACAGTTTTGCCATTGCAGTGGCCAACAGGACTGTGGACCTCAGCAAAGGCTTTCCCTACATCAGGTAGTTATGCCCGAGGGTGGCTGTGGGGGGCGCTGGCCTGGAGCACCCGGGATGACCCCTTTGTCTTCCTCAGCTTCTGCGGATCCTTCCCCCCTCAGAGCTGCATCTTCAGCCAGGTGCTCAATGTGGGAGCTGCTCTGGGTAAATATTGCACGGGTCTTTTCGGTTCAGTGCTCCGCAGCCTAGCCAAGCGAGCTCCAAGACTCCTCCTTTTTCAAACTCGGGGGTCCATGCCCCAGACCCCTCCTTCCCCAGAATCCAGGAGTCCGCTGCCTTCTCCCTCACCTTGCCCCCCTCGCCTCCCTCACTGGGTTCCAGGCGTCTAGGACGGGTTCCCTCCTACTTCTTTCCCCCTTCTCCTCCCAGCCGCGTGGATCTGCATTGTCCGTTACCACCAGCTCCGAGACTGGGGCGTCGGAAAGTGGCCTAACCAGTTAATCCTATGGACGGGTCTTCTCTGTGCCCTGGGCACCTCCGTGGTAGGCAATTTCCAGGTATGACCCAGTAGGCGCCCAGGGTCCGCCCCGGCTGGCGTCTGGGACTACAACTCCCAGCATGCCCTGCGGCCATAGGCTTATTGTATCGGGGGCTATTGTTCCCACATAGCCTTCTGGGACTTGTATTTTTCTTTGGCGACTGGCCGCGGACCACCTGGATTCTTTTCCTCTCTAAATTAGGGGCTCTGGGTGAGGCTGTTTTCTGCAGGACTTCGTTGACCTCGAGGAGGTTGGGATAATTTTCTGCCAGCTCCTCTCCCCAGCTCATTTAATGCTGAAATTACTGGCCGGGCTCTGTGGGTCACTCTTGTAATCCCAGCACTTTGGGAGGCTGAGGCTGGTGGATCACCTGAGGTTAGGAGTTCGAGTCCAGCCTGGCCAACGTGGTGAAACTCCATCTCTACTAAAAATACAAGTTAACCGGGGGTGGTGGCGGGTACCTGTAATCCCAGCTGCTTGGGAGGCTGAAGCAGGAGAATCGCTTGAACCCAGAAGGTGGAGGTTGCAATTAGTGGAGATTATGCCATTGCCCTCCAGCCTGGGGCACAAGAGCAAGACTCAGTCTCAGAAAAAAAAAAAAAAAAAAAAAGTGAGCCATTTGGCAGCAGGTTTTCCATTTTGCTCATGACTTCATTCTATCTCCATAAAGACTTTAACTAAGTCAGTCCTTATTGCCCCTGAACCTTATTTATTTTATCTGGACATGGAGTCCTAAGAAAAAAACAAAAAACAAACAAAAGGAGATGGAATCTTGCTCTGTTAGCCAAGCTGGAGTGCAGGGGCACAATCTCAGTCACTGCAACCTCCGCTTCTGGGTCCAAATGATTCTCCTGCCTCAGCCTACCAAGTAGCTGGGAGTACAGGTGCCTGCCAGCATGTCTGGCTAATTTTTTTTTTTTTTTTGTATTTT